GGCATACGAGCCGTCGTTCAAATTCGTCTTAGCTTTGGAGGGACCAAGTCGGCTTAACAAGAAGTTCCGCTAGGTCATCGTGCCGGCCTTCGAACTTGACAAACTCCTTGACATCACCAAACCGTAGGTATTGCCATTCTTTGTCGAAGGAATAGTCTCGATGTGATGAGGCCAAGAATCCGCACTCGGCGCTGCCGAAACGAGACAAAAGGTTAACACCTGCTGCAACAAGTCTGTCGCCAGTAACGGTCGCCAGAGCGGCACCGCCTACGCCGACAAGCTTCATACTTTGTAGCGTTCGAATGCCGTAGTCGTCTTCTGCCAGCATTTGCAACACGTACGGGACCGAAGAAAAGTACTGGATAGGAACGGTGCAGGATTTGCGGCAAGCGTCAATCGAACGCACAACATTCCCAGCTGTCACGGGAAGCTCAGCTTCGGGGAACAACCAGAGCATTGCGCCGCTACTCCAGCATCGGAGACAGTCGATGAGCCCACCATGATACAGAGGTGTAGTGGAGAAGGTGGCCGGCTGGCTTGCAGTGTCCAGACGAGGCAAGGCACTCACAATACTGCTTGCTTGTGGTATGGGCTTTGGTAGACCCGTTGATGTACCCGAGGTATGGAAGTAGAACGGTGGATCGCGATCCCCAAGTTCCGTCTCCAGATCCGACCCTTGGGCGTGGATTTGGACCTCTGAGAGCATCGGTAATTGTGGTATGTTGATTACCTGAACATCGACTCCGATCTCGAAGTTTACCGAAGTGTAAGGTGTGTTTACCAATATGCAACTGATTTCCAATTCCTCGCAAAGATGTTCGATGGACTGCGAATTTGACTGAGGCCTGCAAATTGTTGTAAGAGCGAACGAATCCAGTGCCGCAAGACCTCGCTTACGCTAAAAGCAACACACTGTGTCCAAGACGAATCAAGCCTGCCCAGACTGCCACGAAGTTCAGATCGCTAGTAGATAGCAGCGCAATTGTTTGGTTGCGCGAGCTCAGGAGTGGCCGCAATGCCTGGGCTGCGAGTACCGAGCGATCTCGTAAATGGCGAAACGTTATGAGTCGAGAACCTGTCTGAGTTCAGCTGATTGCCACCTGACCTCCAGGTTGATCTGGCCAGTAAAAAGGGGAGGTTACCGTGGGTAATTTCTGTCTCTTCAGTGCATGCGGCAAGCCCTAGTGCTGGCACATCGGGAAGTCTGCTAGCTTGTTCGTCAAGCATATCAGTGATGGTTTTGAAAGATGGAAGAGACTGTGCATCTCGCTTAAGCAAGTAGGCTTGCCCAAGGGTGCAGGTGAAGTAGTTTGGTGCCGGATAGTGCATGTTGGTTGAATTGGGAAATATTGTCGACAGCGCGAGTAATCTCTTCTCAGCACGGGGATGGCGAGAACTAGAAAGAATATCAACTCGAGAAGCCGCGATGAGATTCGGGGTTTTCATTTCATGGCTTGGCTGTTGGGGTTGGTTGCATGCGCTAAAGTAGCTGAGGTGCTTCATTCGACTACCCCAGGGATCAATGCTGCAATACATGCGTCATGACTGCATGCATCTGACCGCTGAGCGCTATGATGCATGTCGGCCCAACATGGACTTGTTATTCGACATGTTTATACGCGTCATGGATTTAGTAGCATCTGGTGTCAAGTTTATACCACGTCCCAATCTCATTCCCTGGGCAATTTCTTCTCTCTAGCTACGATGAAAATATTCTCCCTATACCATCTGGGAAGACGATTTTTACTCGAAAGGTCATATAGCCTGTTCTGAACGCTAGCCCTTACAGCGCACTCCCCATCACATCACGATCATGCCGACAATAGAGTCTGTCACCCTTCTGAACGGGGAAATGATGCCGAAACTTGGCTTCGGCGTTTATCTATCTCCTCCCGAAGTATGCACACAATCGTGCTTGAAGGCTCTTGATATCGGATATCGCCATATTGACACTGCCCAATACTACGGAAACGAGAAGGAGGTTGGCCGTGCGGTGCAGCAGTCCGGCATTCCTCGCTCAATGCTGTTTCTGACCACCAAAATTCTCGCAGCTGGTCCGTCCTTTGACGAGAGCTACCGTAAATGTGTGGAGAGCATTTCGAACCTTGATTCGGATGAAAAATACGTGGATTTGTTTCTGATACACAGTCCAAACTGTGGGGAGTCCCAAAGACAGACTTTGTGGCAGGTCCTCGAGAGACTCCATGCAGAAGGCAAGGCGAAGAGTATAGGTGTCAGCAACTTTGGCATCCAGCACATCGAGGGTCTTAAAAGAACCGCGAAGGTTTGGCCGCCGCACGTCAATCAAATCGAGGTGAATTTCCTATATGTGTGTTCCCGCAATATATGGCACAACGCTAAAGTCGTGACAGCTCCATCCTTGGCTTCAGCAAAAGGAGATTGTGTCCTACTGCAACAATCATGGTATCACTGTTCAAGCATATTGCCCCTTGGCAAGAGGCCAGAGATTTGATGACGTCACGTTGCAACGTGTCGCCGAGAAGCACGATGTTGCACCGAGCCAGATTCTGATCAAATACAGCCTGCAGAAAGGCTGGGTACCACTTCCCAAAAGCGACAATCCAGCCAGGATTGAGGCAAACTTCAATGTTCAGTTCACACTCGATAATGATGATATGATTGGACTGGATGGCCTTGACCAAGGTCGAGCGGGTGCTCTTGTTCAGGCCGTTGACAACTGAACTTGGGCCGTCAGCAAGTGAACCGGTTGAACTAGGTTATTCATCTTCATGGAAAGGAACTTTATTTCAGAGCTTTTGACCTGGGAGCTTTGGATGTTAATATTGAGTGAGTTCACACGGAAGATATCAATGCCAAGCCTCCAAATACTACGATAATGCGATGTGGGGGGTTTAGTGATGTTCTCAGACTATCTATTGTGTGCGGGGTTCTGTACTTTTCCTGCGCACGCAGCTTAGGGTGACGATCCTTGTCCATATTCTGCATTGTGAGTGTCTACAACCTTAGCATCCGGATTCAGGATATCACACATAATGTTTCTCGTTGCTTGGCCGCTCCCATAATGTCGAATAACCATCTAGATATATATGGAAGATACTTGAGATTGGGGATTCAAAACATTTTGCTATGTCAAGAAGAGCCACCATCTACGACCTTAATGGCCTGTCTCTGATCAACCAAGCCGTCCATAGCCGTCCCGTGCATAAGACTTCTCTTGAATCCATCAGATGACAAATTGCCATTGCCGTTCAGCTTGTGTTCATCTGCCCCACTATCAACAGCAGCAGGCGGATGACCATTCGACAAAGTTGTCGTCTCTCCTTGAATAGTATATCCAGTGTCACTAGCGTCCACGAAAGCGTCGATACCCGCGCCTTGCCGGGCAAACTTATCCATCAGGGCCTTGTGGCTCTCAAGTGCAGCTGCCAGCTCTTCTTTCGAAACATCGTTAAGGAAAACGCAGGTTCCCATGGGAGTAACAGGTACAGCGGCGCGAAGCTTGCCGTCTCGGGTCTTGAGAATGGCAGCCGTAGCTTTTTCAAGAACGGCACTGTCGAATTGAGAATGGTCCATTGACAGGCCCGCTCGAGAGAAGAGCATCAGCAGTCTCATATGCTCCTCGGCAGTGATAAGTCCTCGTAAACGAGAAAGAGTTGCCGAGTAGGCCATATCAATGGAGATGGCGTGGCCATGGCGCAGAGGCGGCTCGGGTACAAGTTCGTGCAACGGGGACCAACTATTGAAATATTAGATTGTTCGTCGAATCAGAAATCAGGGGCTTAGCTGACGTGTGACCATATGCGATGACTCGGTCGAGCATGATCTCGTGAAGGTTTGGGGACTCAAGCTTCAGCATTTCGAATATGCCGGCACGACAGATTTTATCGGCTGTGGCGATAAGCTCTTTCGAGGCGCCGTCTGCTCGTCCAAAGCCTGTGCTGATGAGATCTTCGCAATGCTTCTCTAGCAAGTCATACGTATCCTTGTGAGCACAAGATGAGATCTTGATCAGCTCGGCAAATCCATTGCGAATCTGGGAAATGGGCAGCGTGCGAAGGAAAGTAAAGTCGAGGAACGTGTGCATGGGAGCGTGATATGCCCCCAACCTGTTCTTGTACTGTCCGTAATTAACAGCCACTTTAATACTGACGGAAGCATCAATGAGGCCAATAACAGTGGTAGGGATGCGAATGTAGTTTGTGTTCCGTCGGTATGCTGCGCATGCAAAGCTGGCCGCAAAGGTCAGTAATCACCACACCATAGGAAAGCATAGCGCTGCGTGCTTACCCGGCCACATCAGTCACGAGGCCGCCTCCGACAACCAGTACAGGTTCCTTTCTGTAGATCCCGAAGTCGGTCATGGTGTCCACGATGGCAAGAAGCGTCTCCATATTCTTGGCCTTCTCGCCGATCATGGTCTTGTGGATCCTAAGCTCAAGACCGTGGTGGGCGAAGTAGCTTTCGATGCGTTCGCCATACAATGTGTAGATGTTATGGTCCATAACAGCCAGGCATCGATTCCAAACCCGGTAGCAGTTCGCGAGATTACCGTTTGCCGTATCGAAAACACCGTCAAGGAACTCAAAGTCATACTCAATCTTTTCGTAGCCGCAGACCTGAAAGCCATTGGCGTTTTCCGTGACTGACGCATTCATGTCCGACATTGTGGCGGTACACCGTAGGAGCTGTAGATTGCTTTATTGCAGGGCTTAGAGCTTAATCCTGAGAAAGGGGCACCATTGATCAGGCTTTATATAAGCGCTGTCGTAGTAGAGGATCCGAGCTTGACAATGATGCATCATGATCTTGAGAACTATGAATCCCAATGATTCACTACGAATGCAAGGGCGCCTAAAGCAAAACTCAATAAATTTCACATGTTGGTGGAAAAAATAGCTCCCTGGTAGATCGGGTGCAGGCACGAATCCTTAGGGTAGTGTGTTCAGCCCATCTGGTACCTGAAGGCACACCCGCGATGGTGTGTTTGTTGGTGCAACCCCGCAGTAGATCTGCATTCAGCTCGCTCAAATCATATGAGGAGCCTCGCGGTGTATGCAATTGTGACATCACCCCAACTCTGGGCATGGCTACGCTTGCGGCAGTTGATTCGATGAAACTTCGACCAGATTGTCTAGATCGATCTTCCCGCATCTTTGACCCGCAACCTCGCCGCAGTAGGAGCAGAATATGATCTTGATGAATCATCGCGCGTTAAGGTGAACGTGCTTATTGCCCATGGATATGTTTTGCCCATGTTGGCCGGATGCAAATCTGCATGTATACGCGTCATCGAATTTGTAGAATCACGACATTTTCTACCATTCGCATCGGCGGTGAAGGGAATTATCATTGTTGCCTGGATTGATTGGGTGGTTTTGTCTTTGTCGTTTTCGTATTGAATTGAAACCTCGTCTCGCATCTCCTTCCCCTGATTCGAGTTCGTTGGCCTTGTCTGTGTTATCACTTGGTTTTCAGGAAATCATACTTACCACCTGCGACTTTTCAAAAGAAACGATGGCCGGCTTCGATTCCTCCAAGGCTTATGCCGAGCAAGAGGACGTATATTTCAACGATGGACGCGAGGTCGAGCTCCAGCGCTTCGTGTGCTCTCGCCCGAGTCTTGAGAAATTGAAAGGATCGCCTCAAGAGGTTCTGGCTGCCATCGACGAATTTGGCAGGCAGCGTAAGTATCTTATGAACATTGGGTCTGAAAAAGGCGCCATTGTTGCCGACTTGATCGCGAGCCTGAAGCCGAAAATAATGGTAAGCGAACCCGATATTGAATCCCTGGTGCAGATCAGTAGTCATTAACCACGACACTGCAACAGGTCGAACTTGGAGGCTATGTAGGCTACTCGGCAGTCTTATTTGGCGATGCCTTGCGTAGCGCAGGTGGAGAGCGATTCATTTGCATCGAGAAGAATCCCGAGTTTGCCGCTGTCGCAAGGTCCATGGTCGAGCTGGCAGGATTGAGCTCCATCGTGGAAATCCATGTTGGCTCGGCAGACGAGACTCTCAAGCGACTGCATTCCAGCGGTGTTTTGGAATCCATCGATCTCTTATTTCTGGATCACGTTAAGCCAGCCTACCTACCGGATTTGAAGACCTGCGAAAACTTGCAATTGGTCCGGCCTGGCAGCGTGCTGGCCGCGGACAACGTCATTAAGCCAGGCAACCCGCCATACCTAGAGTATGTGAGGAGCACAGTGGAGGACAAGCAAAAGGCGGCACGCAACAGGACGATGGAGGACGCTGCCGCACGCGGTGATCCTAGTCTAATATACCAAAGTGAGCTCATCCATAGCTTTGAGCCTACTGGGATACCTGTGAGTCTACGTTGCCTTACACGATGAAGACTGGCTCATTTGCGAACTTTTAGGATGGTGTGGAAATCACTAAATGTGTTGGGAAAGACGCGTTGCAAGCGTGAAAGCATGAAAGCATGAAAGCGGGACCGATAAGCAACTAGGAAGTCAATCAGTCGGATAAACACCGCGTGTGCCAAAGTGTTGCCAAGATCACAAATGCGCAGACGGTTCTCCCAAGGTGCAGCGCATGTCCGAGAGTTGCGAACGCTGCATGTCTATGACGCGCACTTCCCCTCTCAAGAAAAGAAATTCCAGGCGCTGTGACTGTTATTACCTGGGCCAAGTACAAGTGTTCTTTCAGATGGAGCTACTCCCTAACCCTACTCGTCCACCGGTAAACAGTGCATCGTCAATGGCTCTTCATCACAAATCAGTGGCACCAATGATCCGGCACGTCATCAAAAACGCATCCCTTCTCTGCTTGAGCCTTACGTTCCTCCCATTCACCAGTCTTGTCGTTCTGGTCTGCCAGGTGTACACAATCTTGTCAACATGGCTGAACCCAAAACATGGGGCGTCAGGAGTCGTCAAGACCATCCTGGTCACTGGTGTCAACATGAATAAAGGCCTCTCGACGGCTAGATTATTTCACAGCCAGGGCCATCGAGTCATAGGTGCTGACACGCACCGCCTGTCACCGGCACGGGTTTCCGTGGCTCTTAGCCAGTTTTATGTCCTTCCCGAGCCGTGCGACACGGAGCTCGAGACTCTCAGCACTCACACTACGGCGTACGTAACCTCGCTATTGCAGATTATCAAGGCGGAGAAGGTCGATCTCTGGGTATCTGTGTCAGACGTCAACGCCGCCATACAAGATGCACAGGCTCGGCAGCTTATCGAGAACTGTACCAACACGAGGGTTATCCAATTGCAAGAGTCGCAAGTCGAAATGCTGCACAACAAGGCATTGTTTATGAACCATGTTCATTCAATCGGTCTCAGGGCTCCGGAAACGAAGACTGTCTTGAGCGCTGCAGAGCTCATCGAGTTTCTATCAGCTCGAGGCGGTTTGTCACTCAGCATATCCGGCGGTACGCAATATCTGGTCAAACCGGTTGATATCAATGACATTGCCCGCTTCGGCATGGCTTTGGTGCCCCGGGATATCGAGCAAGACACACTACAGGCGATCAGCACGATCCCATTCAAGGATGGAAACCGGGTTCCGTCTTTCCAAATTCAAGAATACATTCAGGGCAGGGAGTACTGCACACACGCTTTGGTGATTGGAGGCCAAGTTCGTGCCTTCGTTGCTTGTCCTTCTGCAAGCGTCTTGATGCACTACTCGGCACTATCACCGTCTTCACATCTCAGCCAGAAAATGCTGCACTTCACGAGATCGATCATTGAGAAGGACTCCACGGATTGGACAGGGCACTTGAGTTTCGACTTCATCGTCAGGTCGAAAGCCAGCAGCAATTTAGAGGAAGACCAGCATGCGGAGATTTACCCGATAGAGTGCAATCCAAGGGTCCACACAGCCGTTGTTCTCTTCAACGAAACACCAGGCCTGGTAGAAGATTACCTAAGTGTACTAGAGCCAGGTGTGGCTCACCAGCCAGTGGAACCTCGGTATCCTAGAACTTATCGAAAGTACTATTGGTTGGGGCAGGACTTCGTCGAGCTGGCTATGTTGCCCACCATTCGAGCGCTGCTCATGCCCAACGGTGGCGATACCTCAATTCAGCAGTCGTGGTGTAAGTTTTGGCATCATCTTTGCCACTGGAAGGATGCAACCTTCGAGGTTAGTGACCCGTGGCCATTTTGGTGGCTCTATCACGTCTACTGGCCTGTCCAGTTTGCCTGGTCTTTGAGGACAACACGTTGGCAAATGATCAATGTGAGCACAGGCAAAGTATTCAAGGCGGCATAACTTCAAGCTTTCATCGAACCCCGTCTGCTCAACCGACATCGACCTCCAGCGCACCAGCGTCCTGCGCTCCGGCGACAGACGGCTTGGGTGGCAAAACTTGTGAATGGCCCTGACATATTGTGCAGCCTTTTCGGTAGCAAGGCGGCGGTTGAGATGCCTCTCTCCGCACAGCGGCTGTGGGAATCAAAAACAACGTTGCGCGTTCCGAGACTGGGGCGCGAACTTGGGGTGTTGTTACCTCAACAAAGTCTTTCATGAATCCGATTCCCCGTTCATGGACATTGGGTTCAGCGCACTTGACTGGGCCTGGGCCTGGAAAGGGGTCCGCTGGTGGGTAGTAAGCCGTTATTTAGGCCTCAATGACAATGTCAAGCTTGCTTGATAATGAGACGGTTTCCCAATGTGCTACGTGATGCGGCCTGGAAGATGCCGATAATTTGCATTTGGCATGTCACGAGTCACGACAGCACATGGAAACCACAATGTCCATCAACTGTCCCGGCCCCGGTAAACAGAGGACGCCGATTCCGGGTCCTACTGTATGTGCAGCGAAACGACGCGACCGATCACGTCTGTACCCAAAGTGAACAGAATTCAAAGAGGAAGAGACTTATTACGGCATCAGATTGATCGTGGACAGGTTGGTCTTTGACGTGGGACGGCGCGACGCGAACTGGTGGATCCCATTCCACGTGGCGCCCCACCTGCAGCCATGGCGAACGAACGCGACACGATCCATGTTGCGTCGGATGGAGAATGGGGGAATGGTGGTGTGAGACGACAGCTTCGATCGACGCGCAAGCCGAGCAACAAGGTCGTCGACAATCGATCCATCGACAACGAAGTCATCGACGATGAACATATCAATGATGAAGCGACCGAGGGTCAAGCCAGAAACGAGCCGACCGACGATGTGGAAATCACGGAGCGAAGAGCCAATAGGCGCGGTACCAAACCGACGGTGCGACGACCAATCTCCGGGACTCTTGGAGGGCAGCCGGACGGAAGAGCGTTGCTGCGCGCTATGGAGAAACAGATGGAACTACAGACGAAGATCATGAGAAAGGTCCTGGAAGAGTCCCAGTCACAGTCGACAAGAATTGAAGAGCTCCAGAACGAAGTGGAGAAGCTTAGGAAAGCCCTCCATGCGACCACGAATGAAACCCAGAGCCTGCGTGCGAGCATCGAAACAGTCACTACGACGATCGCAGGGCAGGATAGATCGGGGCCGTCCTACGCAGACATTGCCCGGATGCCACAGGCCGGCCAACTCAGCAACACGAGGCAGGCTACCATGACAACGCCACCGACGCCAATAGACATGGTCTTCTGCACGATCGACACATCCAGGATGGAGGACGAACAAGGTGAACAGCTCACACCGGGCGCTATTCGTACCCTTACGGAAGGCGAGGTCAGGGTGGACCAAAGCCAATCCAAGTGGCGTTGCCTGGCCGTGACCAAGGACCCGAAGAAGCCTCGAATCAGAATTGCCTGCAGAAACGAGCAGGAGCACGCCATGGTGAAACAACTGGTGGAAGCCAAGCTGCCTCGAGGAGCTAGGATGCTGCGAGACGAACTCTATCCTGTCAAAGTCGACTACGTGAGCCGCATGGTGGTCTTGGATGAGGCGAACACCATCCGCAGTGGGGCCGCGGAGGAGATTGGCAAAGAAAACGACGTACAAGTTGCGAAAGTAGGCTGGCTAAGTAACAGGGACGTCCCGAAGGCATACGGCTCAATGGTTATGTACCTCACGAAGAGAGCGGACGCGGAAAGGCTACTCGCGGAGGGCTACGCCTATGCGGGAGGACAATCTGGGAGGACCAAGGTCTTCGAATCTCGTCCTCGCCTCGACCAGTGCTACAACTGTCAACAGATGGGCCGCGGCCATAAAGCTCACCAGTGCGACCGACCCCAGGTGTGCGGGAAATGTGCCAAGGAGGGGCACCACCACAGTGCCTGCACTGAGACTATCCTCAAGTGTGTTCCCTGCGGAGGTCCCCATGCATCTTTCAGCAGAAACTGCAAGAAGCTCTACCCATCTTTGAATGAGTAGTACGCTCCGTATGATCCAACTCAATGTGCGAAAACGCGGCGAGGTTCACGAGAGCCTCATGAACGACGAGGACATTCAGGACGTAGCGGTGCTGGCGATCCAGGAACCACAGGCACGGATGATCAAAGGACGGCTGTTGACGACGCCGATGGGACATCACAGATGGACAAAGATGGTCCCACCAACGATTGGGGAAGGACGATGGGCGATCCGAAGCATGCTTTGGGTAAGGAAGGATTTGGAGGCTGAACAGGTGCGGATAGAGTCTCCGGACATGACAGCAGCATTGTTGCGGCTTCCAGGGAAACTGGTACTGGTGGTGTCCGTGTACGTGCAGGGGATGGACACCCAGGCATTACAGGAAGCGTGCAACACCATACGTAGAGCGGTCGCGGACGCCAGGAGAGCCGCAGGAGAGGTGGTGGACGTGGTCATTGCGGGCGACTTCAATCGCCACGATCAACTATGGGGAGGAGACGACGTGTCTCCGGTACGACAGGGTGAAGCCGACAACATCATCGACCTGATGAACGAGCTCTCCCTCTGCAGCATGCTCCCGAGGGGCACGAAGACTTGGCAAGGCGGGGACCACGAGTCGACAATCGACCTGGTGCTGGTATCAGAAGACCTAGCTGCGGCCATGATCAAGTGTACGACGAACGGAACAGAGCACGGGTCGGACCACCGCACCATCGAAACGATTTTTGATGTATCAGTGCCGGCCCCGAAAATCCAGGACCGACCTCTGTACAAGAACGCGCCATGGAATGAAATCAACACTCGAATTTCCACTGCACTCGAGACAGCCCCGATGGAAGGCACGGTCCAAGAGAAGACGGACAGACTCATGTCAGTGGTGCTGGAAGCAGTACAGGCCTTGACACCAAAAGCCAAACCATCGCCACACGCGAAGCGGTGGTGGACGGCGGATCTTACGCAGCTCCGCCACATCCACACACATTGGAGGAACCGGGCGAGGGCAGCGAGACGGGCAGGACGGAACGATGAAGCACTGGAGAACACGGCCAAGGGAGCAGCGAAACAATACCACGG